TAGTTACCCATAATAATGGGCTACCTTAACCCAAAGGTAAAGTTGCCTGTTCCATATAGGGTTATTAAAGGGCTATATAAGGTAGGGTTTAGGGTTTAGGGTTCAGGGTTTGGGGCTTAGGGTTGGTTCTAAATATGGTTATGTGAGGGCTGAATATGGGGTTACGTAGGGGTATATTGGGATAGGGATTATGTAGGGATGATGTAAGGACATGTAACCCACCCAATGGAGAACCAAATGGAGAGGAACTTGGAAAATTAAATGGAAGCTGGGTTTATAACTATAGGCACCCTGCAGCTCAAACCCAATTACAGGATCCTGTGCTGTAAGCGCTGAAACATACAGTTCAAGGTCCGCTCTGACCATTCAGCGAAGCAACTGCAGTGTAACCTGCATGCTTACGACTTCTGGGCACAGCCCCTCTTAAGTCGATAGAATCAGATATAAGGATATTATGGTTTATCCTGGACAATTGCAACCCTAAACCCTAGACCCTAAACAAATAGAGCGCCAAGGTCGCCCTGGAACCAGCTCAGGTTGCGACGGAGCTCCGTGGCGAGCTTCATGCAATCTGACTGAAGTGCCTTCACTTACTGGGGGCTGGGGATTCGCAATGAAGGAATCTATTATAGAGGTATAATATGGGGACTCTAGTGTCATTATACTGGGATTATATTCCCTTACCCTACGAAGCACCGGTAAGTTCAAAAAGCAACGCTGCCCACATGATGTTTCGTCGATGTTTTATGATGCTCCCAGCCTTTTGCTTACATGACAGCACAGACTTTACCAACTGAGATTTTCCATCAGTTAAGGATGGTCTACACCCTAAACCCTGAACCCTAAGTCTCCAAATGGCTCTAATCCTTAAATCCCGAAATGGCCCGAAACCCTAGACACTAAAACGTCCCCAGTTTTGGGCCTCTTGGTGGACCTCCTGCCCATCCTCGCCAGTACAGCAGCAGAGACCGCGTATCAGCAGTTCATCAAGGAAGGTTTAGGGGGACTCCACATAAGGCCCACCTAAACCCTAAGTCTCGCACACTAAAACCCTAACCCTAAATCCTGCACCGTATACCCTAAATGCTAAACCCTAATCCAGAGATTCAGAGACCTTTGGATGCCTTGGCGAGTCTTTGTTTATGGTTCCCCCATGTATGGGCTTGCAAGTGGCCACGTATGGGCATTTAGGGGTGTAGGGTTTCAGGATCAGAGTTTACAGTTTACAGTTCAGGCTTGGGGATGTAGAGTAGAGGCTTCACGGTTTCAGGCTTGAGGGATTCCTGACCCTGAACCCTGAATCCTAAACACGGTTTCAGGTTGGGGGGGATGCCTGAAAGTAGGATGATCTGAGTAGCAGGTGCTCTTGGCTTGAACCTCGTTCTTGCAAGTTACAAAGTCTATATGACCCATAGTCTTAACTCCCTAAAGGGGGGCTATATAGGGGATTATATTATAGGGACTACTATAGGGGTCATTAAGGGGGATACTAGGAGTTTAGACTATGGCTCATACATAGCCCCAGTTCAAGGGAGTGAGACTAACACGTTTCCCTGGGCCTGATATGGCCAGATAAAACCGCTGAATTCACGACACTTGATGTAAATTGCGAACCGCTTCTTGCAAGCAACCTATACGCACCCTAGGTTTTGAGGCGTTGGTGACAATAATCAGAGCCCGGGGACAAACAATTCCCA